ACCGCGAACGCGAACACAAGAACGCAAGGGGCCAGGGACGACGGCCCTTTTCCATGACGCCCGGGAAGGCCCTCTTCGAAGGGACTTTTTTTGCCATGTCACGTGCACCGGGTTCCCCCTAGCGGGAAATTTGAGGTGTGGCCACCGTTCGATGCGCGGACCGACATGTGGCCAACCTTTCGCGGCGTCAAACGGACCCTGCGAGGCACTCCGAAATGGAAGACCCAAAGGGGACCCGACCCACGCGCGCCTACAAATACGAGCGGCGCCCGGGGCGTGAACGCCGCTTTCTGCGTTTTTTGTTGGGGAGATGCTGCCGGACGGACGCCTCGCACCACCACTGTCGTCAACACCATCACCCCGCACAGTTGTAGCACCATAGGTAGCGAAGCGAACGGACAGCCGTTCTAAACCCTGGTGGCTACCTTTTCTACGACGCATCTCCCTCCACCTCCCTAGTCGCTGCCCGCGTCATCTTCGACGTCGTGCGTCGACATCCCGTCGACTCAACGACGACATCTCGATTCTGGATTAGCGCATCCGACTCTCCACGCATTACCATCGCCAACACAAAGCGCACCGCACAAGGTCGCAACATTCCTGTCTCGATCGACGTCGGGATCCGCACGCATCTCCACTCGACACTCTCACAAGGTGAGTGCGCACGAACCCGGGACATGTGTGTTTCTGTGAGCGCTTGTGGGCAGCTTTTCTGCTGACACGTCTGCGTTGTTTGGACGAGTGTGTGTTTGCATGTGCGTGTGCGGTTGTGTTTTTGTTTGCTTGTGCGTGACGAGTGTGTGTTTGCATGTGCGCGTGCGGTTGTGTTTGTGTTTGCTTGTGCGTGACGAGTGTGTGTTTGCATGTGCGGGTGCGGTTGATTGTGTGTTAGAGTGTTTTTTTTTTCGGGCTTGCGTATGTAGTGTCTCTACGTGAGGGGCATGTTTGTGTACGCGGCGTTTGTGCATGTGTGTGTGCGTGTGTGTGTGCTTGTGTGTGTGCGTGTGTCTGTTCGTGTGCGTGTGTGTTGTTTCGCCGATTGAACGTGCGGAGGTTGTTGCCAAAGTGTGCGGCCATGGTTGAATGAATTGTTTCGCATCCCGAGGGTACTCCTGATGTATTCTGGCGTTGAGCGACGTGCGTGCGTAATATCCGGCAATTGCGTACGCTCTAATGAAGAACTGTAATCTGTTGTCCATCTATCCATCTATTGTGTCTCTGTCGCCGCGTGTTTCGATCAATCATACTTTGGGCAGATCGAGGGCTACGACATTCAAACATCAAACAGGAACAATGGAGTGTGGTCAGTGGTCAGGATGTGATGAACTGATGAATGCTGATAGCTCCGATCGAACGCGCTGTGGCCAGTCACGAAACATAAGCACCCCGCGCTCGATCGGATGTTTCTCCATTCATCATTTTCATACACAACAAGAGCACACGAGATCCACACGTTTGTGTGTGGATCTCATGTGATCTTGTTGTGTATGAAACTAATGAATGGAGAAACATCGGATCGAGCGCGGGGTGATTATGTTTTGTGGTCGGCCACAGCCCGTTCTATCGGAGCTATCGGCATTCGTCAGTTCATCACATCCTGACCACTGACCACACTCCATCGTTCCTGTTTGTTGTCCCAACGCAGTAGCCGTCGATCTTCCCAAAGGATGATTAATCGAAACACGCGGTGACAGAGATACAATAGATGGGTAGATAGACAACATTTATTGATTTGATAGTATTCATTATTGATTATAGACAGTCTAGAGCACAAGATAGATAATATTCCTTGACACGGTTGTCGCTTTCGAGCTTGGGTTCATCCAGTGCCAAGTTGTGCATAACGCGAGATCGGAAATCAGAAGTAGTTCGGATTAGGGCGGACTTCTCCATTTCAACCAGCCTTTCATTCCGGTGTGGCCTTCCTGGGTCGGGGTTGAGTTTAACAACCTTCGACTTGCGGATCGTGTGTCCCTATTCTACGGAGTGCCCCGTGTGCCGCATAAACAGCGCATGATCCCATGCGCACTGCGAGTTTTCACTTGCTTCTCTCTCTCTGTCTGCCTCTCGGTCTCTTGCCCACTTGAAGTTCGGATCCCGGCGGACTACCCCTTCTCACCGTTCCGGATTTGGGTGTCCGGGTGTCTTCGTGTGCGGCTTTTGCTGCGCTACAGCCTGCGTTGACGTGCGGCAGCGAGTGTTTTGTTTCTCTTGTGTTTTGACAGACATTGACTTCATGGTGTGCAGTTCGATTTGCGTTGTCGTTCGCAGACAGTATGTCTTCTTCCAAGGGCGAGGTGGAGCCAACAGGGACCTCCGGGAAGGAATCACGAAAAGATTCCACGAGGCGGTCGTCTACTGCCACGCAGGGGTGGTCGAACCATTCGAGGTCGAAATGGTTCATCGACTGGTGTTGTGGAGACGCTTCCAACCCCACTGCGCAGCCATGTGGTCCTGTTATCTTCATCGATGACAGCAGAAGGCGTAGAGTGCTTGGTGTCGTCTTGCGGTGGGAGGACGCAAAGGGGGGCCGGCGACATTTCTATATGCAGAAAGTTTATGGCGCCAAGGGCAACGTCGTTGCCAATTCGAAAGGGACGTTGTTGGACCTCGAATTGTGTGAGGGGTTCGGAGCGGGTGTTGTGAACACCCCGTTCTACAGAGAACTCGTTCTCGGGGGCGGTTTTGTTTTGGCGCGTGATTTTTTCGACATGTTGGAGGACAAAAACATCGCTCTAGACATCCCCTGCGACGTCAACCCATCCCTGGAGCTCTCGTTGCCGTTGAAGCTGTGCAGCTGTTGCGAGTCAAGCGGGGCAGCGGCAGAGGGCGGTAATCTGGGTTCTGGTTCCGCCACTCAGCTGCACCGTGGCGAGAGTCGAGGTCAGTTCGATGACAACGAGGATGAGTAGACTGCTTCGCCGTTGAGTGATACGCGGTGGTCTGTGTTGTCTATTCAGACTGATGCTCCGGTTCAGCGGAAGAGTACGGGGCCTGCAGTAGAGGTGGCGGCCTATTCGGAGGTCGACTTGGAGGCGATCGAGGGACAGGGTGTGGAGGAGGTGGACGCGGGAGGCCTGGGCTCGCAAGGAGCTCCGCAAAAGAGGAGGGGGGATCGTCTAGACGAGTTCGCCGATTCTACGAAGAAGTTAAAGAGCAAGGCCCCCAGGACTGCGGGGGAGAAACGCAAGGGGACCGAGGGGGAGCAGGGCCGGCAGGTTGCCAAACGACCGTCTTCGAGACAGAAGCAGCCTGAGTCTGGACCGTCTTCTCCACCGACAACAGGGATTCCCATCGACGTCGACGCCGGGTACTTCCTCGAGTACAAAGACGGCGTTCGGACAAAGCGGGAGTTCGATATTAGCCCTGCGCAGGTCGTCGACCTCGAGGACTAGGAGGACCTGTACAACCAGCGGTCCCTGGATCCCGTGCTCGTGGAAGGGATCAAAGAAGCGATGCGGTTGGCGTTCGAAAACAAAGCGCAGTCTTATGATTTACCAACCCTGAAACTAGCGCCGCTGGGGCTTGATAAACCAACTCCGGGGACCAAGGCAGAACGTTTGAGGCCGGAGGATTGGAGGGATGAGCTGGCGGGACAATACTACTACTACGCGGTGTGTGGGCAGCACAACGCGGCTGCAGCGAGGTGTCCAGGAAATACAATTTCCAGCGGTGGCCTGCACGAATGGTCTACTTTTCGGACGACGACTTCGAAGGGTACTTCCTTGTCAGTTCCCAGGACAACAAGAAGGACCTAAAGGCGCCCCCACGACAACTGAAGCTGTCAATGAGGGACATTAGGTGGCAGTGGAAGTGCGTCGGTTGCCCGTGTGCTGTTATGGGGAACCCCTTCAGAAAACAGGATCAGGTCTGGAAGTGGCGTGAATTCTGTAATGTCGCACTCAACATGACACCGCACAACAACTTGTGGACTCTCGCAGATCAGCAGGGCGAGGAGGCCATCAGGAAACAAGGCGCTGCCCTGCGTTCCTATTTCCCGCTGGCAATGGCAGGGGAGAACGTCTGGAAACTGGCCGTCGAGTTTTTCGAGAAATGGGAGACAGGTAGATTGCTCGGACACGACGGCGCAAAGTGGATCATGCGGAAGAAGAAAGTCAAAAACGTGAAGCCAGGGGTTGCATACATCCATAATGACAAGCTGGGCAGGAAGGAGGTCGTGTACAACGTCCCTGTGGACCCGCCGACAAAAAATGACAAAAAGGAGAAAGAGGAGGGCGAGTGGTTCGTGCAAGTGCCAGAGCCGGACGTGCATTGTTGGAAAACGATGGAGTCGCTAAAAGACAACGAGAAGTGTGGTGTCCTGAAGAAGGTGCTCGCTTGCGAGGTGGTTTGGGTACAGGCGGGCTCCCCAGCGTTGGCGAAGCTCGGAAAGCTGAGCGTCCAGGAGGTGGTGAATTTGGTGAAGTGTGACCGGGTGCTGGTGCGTCTGTGGAACTACTACCAGTTCAAGCACGACGAAAGGCCGGACGTGGATTGGAGCCAGAGGTTCCCATTCCTGAAATCAAGGTCTGCAATTTTCAGACACTTTAAGAGTCGTGGTTTGGATGCTGAGTTGTGGGGCGGGAGCACGAAATACGTCACTGACTCCTCGCTGTTCAAGGACTGCCCGCCCTACATGGGCTGCGACGTCGACAGATCGATCGAGGCGACGGAGAAGCTGGCCGGTCACAAAAAGTTGTCCGTTGACTGGAGGAATAAGGTCATGTCCGTGTTGACCGGCAGTAGACTGAAGAATCGAGAGATCGCGCTCGTCGAAGGCATTGTGCACATAAAACGGAATGACACGGGCGACGTGACATCCATCGCGCCATTCGGCAACGACCCCTTGGAGGCAGACATAAGGAGTGCGGAGGTGAAGGAGGTAGTGGTTGGCACAAAGAGTCACACGTTCGTCCTCGATCTGTGCGAACCGGTGGACCTGAAGCTTTGGAAACCGCAAGCGTTCGACACTCTGGATTCCCAACTCCAGACGTGGTGCCCGTCGCATTGGACGCTCATTGTTTTTGTCCCGCGGCAGCAGAACCTCTTCTTTCAGCCCACAAAAACCATCTTTCTTTCGTCAAGTTGCTGGAAGGGAAGTGGGTGAGGAGGAGTCAACAGAAGAAAAGCTTCCCCGTCGGGAATAATTTGTACACAGAAGACGACCGGATGTACATACTCTTCAAAGGCGCCGATTCGCGGGCCAACACGTCCGTCGTCTACGAGGGGAAACTGCCGGTAGGCGCCGCTGCTGCAGTGCGGGTACCACAGAAGGTTACGCAAACGGATGTGTCCGACATCCCGTTCAACGCTTGCGATTGGTCGCATACGTCGCCTGCACGTCGGGGCATTGTGTACGGGGACATGGAACGCAACCCCGCCCAATTCGTTCAGCTTCTCGAATCCGTCACCAAGAAGGGGGAGGGTGTCGTCTTCCTCGGGAAGCCACACGCGCGGTCAGTCTGGGAAGTACTGAAGGCAGGACGGCACGTCATCGCGATGGAAGGGAACTTTGAGCTCTTGCAATTTACAATTGATCTCGTCAAAAGCGAGGTCAATTCGGGTGCCCACAATTGCGAGTTCATGGTCGTCACCGAGACTCGGGCTCGCGCGTGGAACAACAAGACGTACATGTGGTTCAAGTTGAGTGCGAGGAAGTGGAACAAGATATACAACTTCTTGTTCCTGCAAACGCGGACGAAGAGAGAAACCGACGCCGAGTACGTGTGCCGCAAGGACCACATGTTCACGTTGCTCGACAACTATCACGGCGCCTCCCCCATGAACGCGAAGACCTTCCTCAAGAGGTTGCAGTCCCTTTACTTCGTGGAGTCAGAGGAGGAGCATACGTTCGGCAGTTACTCCTCCTTGATCTCCACGGAAGACGAGGAGACCACCGGCATCGAGTTCGACGCGACCGCGGACGAGGAGGGCAGCGACACCGAAAGCCTTGACCTGCAGTATGACCAACATTCCACGCAGCACGCTACAAGGTCGTCCTTGGCAGGTCCGTCCACAAGCCCAGCGTCCCTCATGTCACCGATGGCAAAACCGGCGCCAGGCACTACCCCGATGAAGTTGCTGCAGAGAATGCAAGCTCTGGCCTCCGGCCATCGCTCACTGTGTCCCGGGTCTGACATCCCACCCGATCATCTGTCTTGGACGAATGCCAACATTCACTTCCTGCCTGAGCGTCAAAGTCGTTCCACGAAGGCGGACTGGGGCCATGACATGATTTGGCATCCAGGAGTCATCCAGCCGGCGATCCAGAAGGGTGAGTGGATCGTGGCGGTCGCTGTCCCGGACGGAGGATGGATGCCACTCCCTCGCGGGGTCGAAGTCTGACTTCCTCGACGTCGCTAGAATTGCGGTCCTCCAGAAAGTGAGGGCCGAGAATGGCTCTTTCGCACGCGAAGACGTGTCCGTCATTTCCACAGTTGGGCGATTGTTCACCGAACTTCAAGACAAGTGCTGGTTGGAGCTGACGGAGGACTACTACGACCTCGACACGAGCCCCTCGAAAGGGAGGGTGGACTGAAAAATCCCCCCTCCCAGTGGGACGCATGTAAGTACAGGGTCCCGGGGACCAGACGGTGGGGAGAACGAGGGCGACGAGGCTGGGGGCGGCAAACGAGTCCCGGGGCGACAACACGAGGGCGACGAGGCTGAGGGCGGGTCTCAAGGCGACACCACGACAGCGGAAGGCAGCGGCGGGGTGGCGGGGGAGGCCCTCGGGCGTCAGCAGCCTACCGGTCCCGGTCCGGAATGCTCGGCACAGTCGGAGGACGTGCCCTGTTCATCCGCCTGCTCGGTGATGGCGGCCTTGGTTGCTCTCCGTGCCGGCTCGGTCGAAACGTTCAAGTCCGCCGGGATCCGAACTTCAATGCTTGCAGAGCAGACAAAGAGGATAGACCCGCAGAGCTGGTCAGGACCGGGGGTGGCGAGTCGTCATCCCAAAATAGACAGCGGTGCGGTGAGGGACGGGACTTCGCCGCCTGCGGGGGATCGCCAACCGCTTCGGTCGGAGCAAGAGGGTGCGTGTGGAGGGCCCGGCGACAGGGAGACGGCGAAGTTCGCCGGGATCCGAACTTCTCCAGGCAAGGCGTGTGGAGGGCCCGACGACAGGGAGACGGCGAAGTTCGCCAGGATCCGAACTTCTTCAGGCAAGGCGTATGGAGGGCCCAGCGACAGGGAGTCGGCGAAGTTCGCCGGGATCCGAACATCTTCAAGCAAGGGGGGCCAACCAGGGATATTGGTGCAGGCGGGAGGGGCTGCGTGCGGCGGGCGGGAAGCGCATTCATCGGAAATCAACACGGGTTCGGGCGAAGTGGCTGCATTGCATGCAGGGGAAGAAGGCAGGGTGATGGACAAAGAGAAGGAAGTGGAGGAAGGAGACACAGGGGAGGAATTGGAGGAAGGAAGGGAGGAAGGGGAGGAAGAAGAGGATGAAGGAGAGGAAGGGGAAGAAATGGAGTTGGCTGGGTTGCTAGGAGGGCAGGAGGGGGAAAAAGGTGAACTCGATACAGGAGACGACGAACGGACTTTCGACGATGACGATGACAGATCTGGGGAGTCTTCTAACGGATTCGGGCAGCTGTACGGAGAACACCGCGAGGAAGACGACGACGACGATGACACGACACAGGGTATGGAGACACAGGTGGTCACAAGCCTTTCGGCAGAACGTGATGACTATGAGGTCCAAGCAATGACGTCTGTCGTTGATCTCCAACACCGGTTCAACGAAGCTCGTATAGCAGTCAGCCTGACTAAACCGAGTGTGCGTATTGACATCGAAGAAGTTATCGATGGCATCCTGGGCGACCACCACATGTCCGCGCAGCCGTCCTCGACGCCTGGTGTCGACGACCCTCTCGACGTCAAACCTTCCGGGGGATCTGTCGTCGATTTCTCGCCGACGAGCTCTCCGATGCTGCCGCCGACCATCGCCAGCGGAGGAGAAGGCGGGATCGGGGGACGACAAGATGTCACATCCCCAAAAAAAATTGTCGTCGGCACTCGAGCTCTCGACGTGCTGGCCTTGCCCGCGCCAACTTCGCCGATTAAGGAGCAGAGAGACAAACCAGCTGGTAAGCAGTGACAAACGCCACTTTGTCTGCGCGCCAGTGACCGCGGTGTGTGTCAATGCGCACGAGACAAAAACATGTGTGTTTTTGTTGAAGCGTTCCCTCACACGAGTGGTGGTTTTAGTCCGTCGGGATCCGCACTCCCAAGGCCGCTGCGTAATGCGGTTACTCTTTTTATGCCTGAATTGGGAAAAGTCCACCGGGATCCTGACTTCACAAATGTTTGGCCTCCGGGTTTGTGGCTTGTTGAGGTTTTCCCCTCTGAAGGGCGGGGGTGTCGATGTCGAACGCACTGCTCCTTTTGTTTTCCAGCGGGGCCTGCGCGGAAGTATTCTCTATCTCTCTCATGGCTAAACGGGTCTCTGTAAATAGATAGGTCCTGCGTCTTCTACATTTCGTGGTTCTTGAGTTGTCGTTTTCGTCGGGTTCGTCTTGGATTATGTGAGTTCATTTTCCGTTTTCTCTTCCTTCGGTTGCACAGGGGTTGGGTCATCTCCCTAGGTTGGAAAAGTCTGTCGTGATCCGGACTTCAGAGATGTTTGCCTTCCGCTTTTGTGATATGATGTGCTTTTCCCTTCTGAAGGGCTAGGGTGTCGAGCTCGAGTGCACTGCTCGTTTTGTTTTGCAACGTGGCTCATGCGGAAGTTCTCTCTCTCGAACTCTCATGGCATGACGGGGTTCTGTAATTGCATGGGTCCTGCGTCTTTTAGATTTCGTGGTCCTTTAATTGTCGCTTCGTCGGGTTCTTCTTCGGAAACGTGTATTCACTTTCCGTTTTGTCTTTCTTATGTTGTACAGGGGTAGGGTCGTCTCGAACACGGAGGCCCTCTAAATATCCGGAACACATATTGCATACAGTCTCGGGGTTGACGACAAAACACAAGGACATGTTAAAGGCGTCAGGGGTTGATGTCGAAATCGGGAAGAAGGAGCATGCCATTGCCATTGAGGAGTCTCTTTCCCTTCTGCCCCCAGAGAAAGGGACATATCCACGATCTGTGACGAGGGGTCAGGCCATGTATGAGAAATACTTAGCTACTCGTCGTGCGATGAAGGAGAATCCTTAGTGTTTCATTTCTCACTTTCCCCCCCTGTCCTTTGCTCGATGTTGTGCAGTGCGGCCCACAGCACCTGGAACAGCAGTGACTGCGATTGGAAGTTTGCGGGTTTTTGACGACATTGAACGAGGTTTGGTGCCACCTGACACTGTACTCTCGACCCTCCACAATGGTCAACTGTGAATTGCAGCGAAGGATATTCTCACCCTCTCACTTACCGACGACAGGGTGAATGATGAGGTGGTCAACTTCTACATGGCGCTATTAGGAACGACCGCATATGGGACAAGTGACATCCCGCCAGGCCTTCATGTCTTCACCTTTAATTCTTTTTTCTTCAGTAAACTGCAACTTCAAGGGCACGGCGGGGTGGAAAGATGGGTTAAAAACGTGGATCTGCTTGAATATGATATTATCTTTGTTCCAGTCCTCAAAGATAATGATCACTGGATCCTCCTTTCCATGAGCTTGAGACATAATGTTCTTGAGATTTTCGATTCTTTTCCTTGCGTTGTAGCCGATTCTAGTTTTTACCTTAATGTTTTCGAGTTGATCGTACACTATTTGGAATGTCAAACATCACATAGGCGCTCGTGCAGGCGCAGGAAGTCGGTGGCAACAAATGTTGTTATAGAGGGAGTTTCAAGACAAGTGGATGAAGTAGGTTTGTGGGGTGTTTATGTTGATGTTTGCGACACTGTTGCAACGTGGCGATCGACCGCCTTTCAGGTTCTCTTGTAAAAATATTCCGTATATTAGACGACAACTGGCATCATGTGCCTTGGAATGCCGTTGTCTTTGATGGATTCGATTGATTTGCAAACTTCTCTTTCAAAATATTTCATATTTTAATTGTCGCTTTCACAACGACATTACTTTATTTTAGTATTGCGGGTTTGAGTTGTCTTTGGTATGTTGACTACCAAATTGGTGTCGCGTATTGCCTTCGGAATCTCTGTCTGGTCCGGCTCGTCTGTCGTGTCATTACATTCATCGCATTGCACTCCTCGTTGCAAATTGTGTCCAGGTCATCCAAGGTTGTGCATATAATTCACCTCGAAATTATATTTGTGTGTGTGGTGCGACATGACGAATTGGAGTGTAGATGCAAGACAAATCTCGGTGAGTGTGTGGGTGTGAGATTCGTTATGCAAAGAGTGAAAGACCAGTGACATCACGTCTCTTGTCTGCATAGACAATTATGTACTTGTGACCGCCTGAATTACATGTGACCGACAATTTTGCGTTCTTGACCGGGAAAAATAAATTGTATGTCAAAAATAACAGTTACTGTTTGTACTTCTAAAGAAGTCTGAATCTCTACAACATATTGACAACCGCCTCGGACGAGACGATAGCCATGCATGTACAACTCACGCATAAAAGAAATAAATAGTATTATCCAACAAGGATTCAATCATGACAACTTGCTCATCACATTCAAAAACTTGAAGTTTGACAAGTGTGGCTCCCGACACACTATCGCACAGGCATCCCGGATGGGCGTGCCTGTCGCTACTCTACGTCTTCTCATATAATTATCCAACGAGGATGCAATCATGACACATTACTCGTCACAAATATGGAATTGAAGTTCAACAAGTACAGATCCCAGCACACTTCCGCACAGGGGTCCCTGATGCGCGTGCCTATCGTTATTCGTTTATGAAGTTTAACAAGTGCGGACCCCGACACACTTCGGCACAAGATTCACGACACATTTCTGAAGTTCAACAAGTGAGGCTCCCAACACACTTCCGCACAGGATTCCCTGATGGGCGTGCCTTTCGTTATTCGTTTATGAAGTTTAACAAGTACGGATCCGAGCACACTTCCGCACAGGATTCCCAACAGTGCCATGTTTTTGAAGTTCAACAAGTAAGGATCCCGGCACACTTTCACACATGTACGGGTTTGAACACGCTTCCTCATTTGGGATATCATTTATAAAGTTTCACAAGTACGGATCTCAGCACACTTCTGCATGTGCTTAAGCCGTGGATGGGCATACCTTTGTTCCTTGGAATGCAGCCAAAAATGAATTCGTTAGAAAGAGGACACAGTATAATGTCCTATTTTAACGAATAACATGTTTAGAATATTTATTGCACTTGTGGCTTAGGTATGCCAGGCCGTTGTTGAACTAGAGTATGTCATCCTGGAGCAGGTCTCTCTAGTCCCGCAAGAAAGTCTCAGACTTCCTGAAGGTACTCTTTGTACCTTTACAAGTTCAACAGGGGTGTGTTCAATTTATAGAATCATTTGCCCTGGTTTGGCGTCCTCCTAAATGAGAGAATGAGAACGCACATTGCGTGGTCCAGGTCAAGGAAAGGGTTGTAGTGGAATATCTCTGTTATCTGCAAAGCTCCTTGCAAGTCCTCTGTTAGCAGAATGAGATCAATGCGGGATTTCAAGGCCATATTGGTCTGACTCTTATGGAAACATGTGAATATATGAAAGACCGACAATGTTCTCCAGTAGGAGTCATATACATTTAGAGTTTGACAGAGGTCTACGATGGTCTGTTTGTCAGTTTCAATGTACGAAGGGCATGAAAACGGGATGTTCCACCGGTCCATGTGTCTGTTTGGGGCTGTGTTGAAATCCCTTGCTATGAGTGTTGGGATGTCGACTGCAGTTTCGCCTTTAACGATTCAAAGAAGCTTTGTCTTTCCTTTACCTTATTAAGGGCGTAGATGCAAAGAATACACACCACCATCAGTTCGAGCATGGCCAGTAGGTACGCCCACCTCCCTTCGGCTTAGCTTGTTTCCCAGTTAAGCGGTTCTACCCTTGATCTAGGGGGCATCCATATGGCCACTCCCAAGCTTCCTGGTTTGTGTGTGTGGGCACGATAGGCTAGATGAGGTCATATCTCTTTGTGAATCCGATTGTGTTCCACATTATCCATCCGGTGAGTTTCTTGGATGCAGATTATGTCAGACCATTCTTTCCCTTCCACCCCCTTTAGTTGTTTGTAAATAGTTTGTCGCTATACCATTAACGTTTATCGATTGCAGGTCAAGGTCTGCTACCCTTTTTTGCAGTCTGCATTCCTTGTCCTCATTATATAAGGACTTCACCACATTTACTATTTTCATTGTTTTTTCCTAGTTGTGCTTCCTTGTGTGGTGTGTGGTGTTCAGGTGTTCGTTTGTGGATGGCGGGTTTTATATGTGGTATTTATCACCCGCAGCCGCGGCCACAGTGTCAAACTCGGAGGGCGGCCGTAATCACGGCCGCCGCAGCTCCGATCATGGTTGGGTGCGACCGCGATTTTCAGGATTTGTTTTAGACTTGAAACAATTTTCAAAAAAAAAAATAAAATAAATGGTGTTGTAGATTTTCTCGGGATCTAAATTGCGCAATTTTGTATTTTTTTTTTAACTTTGTCTTTGAATTTTAGAAATTCAAAAACTAATTTCCTAAGGGAAAAGTTTTTTTTTTTTTTTGAGAAAAACTATGAAACTTATGCGTTTGTTATTTTAAATTCAGTAAAGTTTTTTTATATGACAACGAGCATAAACTTGTTATGTATATTTTTCTACATAACATATTTGTTTTTCAGAATTTTTTAAATTTTTTGTTTTTTTTCATGGCCGCGGACCGTGGCCAAATCCGGCCTAGGCCACCTATGTATCAACCGCGGTCATGACCACGGACTTTTTTGCCGCATGCAGTCAGGACCCCGCCCGTGACGGTGGAACCCCGCGGCTGACAGCAGACATGAAACCCGGGGATTTAAAAAAAAAAAAAAATAGGCCAAAAAAAAAAAAAAAAAATGGGGTTGTAGGGTTTGAAATTCCCTACATTCC